TTCCTATAAAGATTTCTCTAGAATGAAATTAAAAAAATAGAAATCTATGAGTAATATCAATCGAATTTATTATATATATTCATGTTATCAATATGAAAATCATCATTTTAATTCTATTATAATATTTGATAATATATAATCAATATAAGAAATGATCAATCATATATAATATATCAATAATTCAATAATAAAAAAATATCAAATATTCAAAACATCCTAATAATTAATATCATTCCAAAAAAAAATCAGACGTAAGAATTATTCAGGAAAAATTTCATCGATCTTATATCTTTATGAATTCCAATCATTCTAAAAGCGATTTTATCCATTATCCCTTATCTATTTCGCAAAGAAATCAATGGAGCTCCTAAAAAAATATAATATTCGAAAAAAGAGTGAATCTAAGAATATCAGTATTTTGAATTTTATCATGATCCATGAATAAATGAAATATCGAAATAGTATAGAGAATAAGATTTCTATGATTTCGATTCCGACGAAGAAATGAATTAGAATTTGAAGAATATTCAAAAAACGCCAGATTAAATAGCCAAAGTTAAGGACTAGCCTCTACCCAAAAGATACGTTATATTAGTGAAATATCCTAGAGAATCCAATATCATAGGCGTAAGTATCTTTATAATCAAATCTTCGGTCGACCCGAAACAGCGCTCCAAACGACCATACAGAAAAATCTAGTATTTTTTGGTGTGTCAAGGGAAGATATACTTAGCTTATACAGATCATATGCTACGAGAATCGAAAGTACACTTCCAGGAGAAGACAATATGTAAGCTCATACTCTTCACACGTCAAGCAAGTGCCGGACCTGAACCAATAAAGTGTTCAGTGATTGAGTCTGTGACTTGTTCGTGAGTTCGGAGAAGATGACCTGGATTGCATCGATACGAAACCCGGACGGGCCTTGCGATGTGCGAGCGAGCCCGAATCGGCCAAGAACCCAAAAAATGAAACTAGAACTGTCCTCGATCGGACCCCAAACATGGAAAGTTAAGCAATTAGCAAATGCGTGTTGTGTGGATCGACATCCCCGAGATGCTGGGGCAGAAGGATCTCGATGCGTTCAGAGGCATTACGCTGCTTTCCTTGCGAGCCCGACGGAACACATCCGGAACTTGAGGATGATGACGATGATGATGATGATGATAATGATCACGACGAACGTGATAACGGATGGATGCCGATGCGCCGATGACCTGCGTGACGACAGCTGCAGTCTCGAGCTGGCTTGTAGATCGCGGCGCTGAGTTTGTTCAACTTTTAACCACGGCCGCCAAGGAGGTTCAGCCTATCAATTGGAGGCCGGAATCGTGCTTCGTCAGGTTTAATTCATGCATCTGTCTGGCACTGGCTTGTTAAGCACTCGTCCCGTGCGAGGCACCGACAGCGCCCACTAAGCAGCTGCAATGCAAAGCGCCGACACCTCAGCCTCAGCTGTGCAATCAGCTTGCAACGCGACTTGCAAACTGCGAGGTTTCTCGCCGCTGGTTTAGAAACGTCCGACGATAGCGCATGCAAAGGAATGTGAAGCTGAATCTTACAGGCCTTTTGGGCTCAAGTGGTCTAAGCACGCGACACTGCTCAGATGCGAAATCCACTGGAGCCTTGAAGGCCATTGCCCGGGCTGCCTGCAAGGCAAGAAGAACTATATCTGGGGATTCTCCATCGACAAGCTAGTGTCGTTTGCGCTGTGCGAAGCAGGTGCTACCTCCCCAAGACAAAGGGCTGCCACGACCACCTCAGAGTCCATCAATACTTGGACCAGCGGCAGTTCGTGGCCGACATGATCTTGGGCCATGCACGTTGGGCTGTGACGGGATAGGCTCGAACGCGTTCGGGGGGACCTGTCTCAGTGAGCCCGTGTCAACGGAAGTCAACCAGAAGGGTGCTGAAAGGAGCCTCCGCTGCCACTCGCGCTCGCGCTCCAAAAGCCGCCTGCAACACCTTGGGCTTGGGCCACTTGGGATTTGGATCTCTTGAAGTCCAGTGAAGCACCGGAACCTCGCACGGCTGGTGTCTGTGGCGCCTCTGAGCCCGGGCGGGAGCCAGGGCTCAGACCTGGGAATGGACAGACGATGCTCTGCGTGGCTGCTCGGATTTTACGCGCCAGGAAGGCCGTACAGCTGCTGTGCAGCCACGGGTGAGGAAAGACCGCCAGTCACCAGAACTGTCAAGCGAAGCTGTGACTTGGTCGAAACTAGGCTGCAAAACGTCTGACAATCTCGCGGCGGCAAATGCCCACTGCTCGGCCTGGTGGGGCGGCGCTCATGATCCTGTGCGTGGTGCCGCAACATGCAGCAAGATTACACTGCGTCTTGCTCGGCAGCTGTTGTGACGTGTCGCCTTTGAGCACCCGCACCGGCTGATGCTTCGCCTTCGTTGAGACATGCAGCAAAAAAAAGAAAAGCATTTCCCACCCTCATCTAGCGAATCTTCGAATCCAAGATCCGACTTAACCTTGCCAGGCTCCAGGCCCGTGGAATCCTCGCTGATGCCGCGGATGTGCTGCCATGCAAAGTCGAGAAAAACTAGATTAGACAGATGGCAGTGCGCCTTATTTGGTCACACCGTTCTAAACATCAGAGAAGGGGAACAATGTGATTGTGTAAAGCCTTTTCTCCCAGCCATTGATTTAGGGACACAAAAAGGCACATAAGCAAAAGTTAGGATAGTGACATCCCCAAAAAAACCCTTGTAATGAAGCCCAGTAAGGTAGGGATATCCCTATCAAATGCTATGCATTCCTCACAAGACTGCGGCTGTCGCCACAACAAACCCTTTCCAACATTCGCAAAAACATTGAACGACCATGCGAGAAGGGCATCGCAAGAAACTCAGCCCGCCCTTGGACTCATGTTAGCCAGCCATGCATGATGAAAACATCTTCGGTGCAGCTTGCAGATCAACATGTGCTACATACCGCAAGGCTACGCCAACTCGGAGCTTCGCGTATCCGAGCTCCTGGCAAGCTTCTCAATGTGCGTTTTGATGGTGTGGTAGTCCTGAGTCAGGTCATCTCACAGCATAGCCAGAGAGCGTCATGCTCACACTGACAACAATGAATTCCTGCCTTGGAGTCTCGATTCAGGTCCATGGCCTGTGAACGGAGACGGTTGCAGGAGAAGCTTGCCAGCTGAAAACACCCGGCAAGCAGTGAACTGTGCTTCCAGCGATGTTGAAATGGTACAGAGCTTTCCTGTCCTTCTGCAGCTTCATGTAGACCTATTCCACGCTGTCGCTGTCAAGTGCGGGTACGTAATGGGTCCCACAAAGCCCCGGCCTTACCTAGCTGGAAGTGCACGCATGCCTCCTTGGGAGCCAAGCAGCGCACCTGCACTGACTCCAATGAAGCTGAAGGACGACAGAGACTCAAAGCGAAGTTCCCTGCACATTGATGCAAATAAAGGTACTAGGATCCTGTCTTCCCCGTCCTTCTTCAGGTCAGCAAGGGCTTCTTCGTGTCTATCCAAGCTTATGAGGACGCATGCTTTCTGGAAGTACCTCCGCAGCACACCACATCTTGCAGCCATAAGTAACACTTGAACCTATGCGGCGCACGCCATGCCATTTTGTGGCTCTGCCTGAGCTGCCTCCGCATGACCACAGCTGAATGCACCATGCCGATACCGAATGCTCCACACACTGCTCCACACAGTGACTACCTGGTCAAAGCTGTCAAGGGCCAGCAGCGGCTGTTTTAACGCGCTTAGCACCTCGGGGCTGGCTCAGTTCAGCTCTACGAACTGCAAGGCGTAGCCTCTCAGGCCCAAACCATGCCCAGGTAGCATCTAAGGACAGAGTTGCTCGCATTCACTTGAAGGGCCTGCACACTCTTGAAACAATCCTCAGACGGATCTGTTGCATGCTGGGTTTGCCTTGTAGAAGTGGTACTTGGCATTCCTCAGGCTTGAGCGGCTCAGGGATACTCAGGGCAAACGGCTATCACTGAATTGGCCGAGCGACTCATGCTCCTCTTGGCGATGGTAGATGTTGCCGAGACCCCACCTTGGACGATGTTTTTTTGGCCGCAACCAGCTTAACTCCTTCACTCTTGAGTTGTGGCCCTGTGGCCCGTGCCAGGCATTGTAGTGCCGGGGGTCGAGGTTCAAGGCGTTCTCGTACATCGCAACGGCCTGTCAGGCAGACTGTTCAGGTGACACAACTTTCCACATGTGAAACCCCAGTCTCGAGACTCACACGAACTGCAACAGCGCCCTTGAGCTAAGCACAGGAAGGCACCTTGTCTATTTTCTCGCTGGCCACGAATTCATGGCCGCACAACGTGTACGCATATGTGAAGTTGGCGTCGACCTGCCGACACACTGCTTGAAGTCAGTAGGCGACCATTGTATGGTGTCTAGAGCAGAAAGAATGCCTGGATGGCACGCTTAAACAGCTTGATGGCGGCATCGTGCTCTTTCTGCAAACTGGCGACGGCCAGGCCCACTCAGGGCGCTTGCACTGGGATTTATGGTGGTCGCGCGAGTCGCGTGCGTGTGGATTTGCCTGAAGCAGTTTCCGACCACGCACCAGACTTGAGGTCTCAGGCGGTCCTGAGCTCAGTGTGCCTAAATCTGGACGCGGAGGCTGGAGAAGCGCCAGCAACAACATTGCAGCACTCCAGCCGAGATAAGGTGCAGGCCCACTGTAAGCATTGTTGCGCCAGTCTACCTGTGAAGCCAAGGATCTATCTGCTCACGTGTCCCAGCAGTCCCAGTGCCCGACACAACTCCACATCTCTGCGAAGGTGCCACAAGGCAGAGGAGTAGTACTCAAGTCCTGGCAGCTTGGTAGACACAAATGAAACCGGTCTGCACCTCACTTGGCCGAAAGCTTCGAACCACTGTCAGCTGCCTTCCGCCCCCCCAACCACCCTCCTTCAACTCGATGCGGCTCTACTCTCCAAGCCTCCCAACAACTGCCAGGAATTTGGACTCGTCAAACGTCTGTTCGCGTTACTGCCTGGTTGTATGCCAGCTCGGACTTCTTGTAGTCCGCTGACTCAAAATGACTTAACCTGAACCGGAGTGGAGGACAGAAGCAGGAAGGCCTACGAATTTTCCGAGGCGCCAGCCCCACCAAATCCAACACGTATCCAGTCTCATAGTGCCTACACAACATGCCCCTCAGTCGGATGAATGTGCGTGTTGCTGGAAAAGGTCAGCTCCAGCATGCTATGACACAGCCGACGGATTGAAAGCCTACGCCACAAAAACTTCGACACGAACCACAGAATGATGAGTTCACAAAGTGAAAGTTGTGATATGTTGTGATTGCATCTGCGCCATGCTCCTGCCGAAATCTGCCGAAGCTAGCAGAGACCAGTCATTTCGGAGTTCTTACAGTACGAAGCCAGCTCCGGCTGTCCCTACAGGCTGAGCTTCATGGATTCTCATTTTGTTGGGTGCTCAGTCTCAAGCAGCTCACTGCGAGTACCTCTTTGGCAACGATGAGAGCTCGTCCACGGCTTGTTGGCAGTTGAAACCGTGCCTCGAAGCCAGCATAGAGAACAGAGCAAACCAAGAACAGAGCAACGCAGACCAGCTGATAACTGGTAACTCAGATGACTCCGACCTTTCGGCAACAGAGAAATAGCTGAGGCCAAAACACCGCGTGAAGGGCAACTCCAAGCTTGCACAGCAGCGATGCCAAGGACAACGACTGGTCAAAGCAGAACAAGTGCAGGACTCCACATGACACACTCACCTCCCATACAGTCGATTGAAATGGTCTCGCGAGCAGCAACGATTGCAGTCCTACCTGCATACATGTAGCACACCTTGGATTCCTAGCGATATACCTTCGACGCTTCATGATCACAAGAACTATAGTAGCTAGCACAAGCTGTCCTTGCTCATGCCTCGGTTCTTTGTGCTGTGCCTCGTTGGAGGCATTGCCACCGATGACAGTTGCAGAAGGGGCATCCTGCACATGTCATTGATGCCACAAAATAGCATACTACATATCAACTGTCAGCATTTGCCCGCAATCATCAAAGCTATTTCCTCTGCAAGGGCCGAGAAATCAAACTACGGAACCTCCTGTCACGCTTTAATTTTACACCAATGATACTTGCAGGGACGTAGATGAGGTTCGCCATATGAGTAGTGCCATGAAACATCAGGTCACGGGACTGCACCTGCCCAGCTGGTCCAGCCGACCGCCGTGGCTCCTCACAGGCGTATGTAAGACCGCAGGATGGAACAGAGAGGTCCATCTGCTCCTTCTGCGCATGGCCATCCAGAGACCTGCTGTGCCAACTCTCGCGCCGCTCCTGCACACAGCAGCATCGAGACTGACAAGGCCACTTGACCATACTAGAAGTTCGCTTCTTGGAACAAGTTGCAGAGCACACTGCCATTCGGAACACCCAACAACAGATAGTCGAATCCGTGCAGCCCTGTTTCAAAGGTCTGTTGCTTTTCGTCCGCATGCACTCGAAGTGTGGCACCTTGAAGGCTGCCCGCTCAACAACGAGCAAATAAGGTCCCGACGCGGCGATTCAGCATCCCTTTTGACCCCAGCTCGTTTCTGGGAGGAGCCTGAGGCGCACGAATGTGCAGCTGCTGGGGAGGGGATGCGACACTTTGGACGCACGACGGCTAGAGCAGCTCCGGCCTTCCCTGCTGTTTGAGCAGAGTCTGAGCCCCGTGCATTTTGTGACTTGATGGCTGTGGCAGAGGCTCGCCCCCTGAGCATATCCGACAAAAACCCAGTGCAGAGACCTGGTGCTAAATCAATGCTTCGCGCTACTTCCAGGGCTTGTTTGCTGCACCACAAGATCTGTTTCAGCGCCTCTTTTGTCTCCGTAAACCGACCTGCTGCGGCCGCCAAAGTTCCAGAGAAGCACCGGAGGCCGAAGGCTAAATCCTGCTTTGCTCGCCCACGATGTCGTCGCAGCGCTAAAAGGTGCCGTGCTGCTCGTCATTTCTCGTAGTGGCGAGGGCCCCGGGCCCGAGGCAGTAGATTGCAGATTCCCTGGAGCAAGGCCTTCGCTGAGGGCACGCCATCAAAGACTGACGTGGCCTTGTTCGACTGCTCGGACAGCCACACGGCAGTCGAGTCGTCGTCTGATCCCTGCGCCACTGACGTCATTCCAAACAGAGCTTTCCCAGTCAGCTGCTGATGTTGCTATCCAATGCTCCACTCGCTCGCCAACAGTCAATGAGCTCAGACATCATCACATACAAGCTTGGAGTAAACATAAAGCATCATCCTCAAGTTCATCAGAAAAGACGTGCTTCCAGCAATGAGGGCGTTCTGCAGCGAGCTAAGCAGAGCCACACCGCAGGCAGAGCGTGGCTGATCCTGACATGTCCAAGACTGTCATGCATGAGAAGCAGCGAGTTGTTCACGAGTAGGCTACGTCCTGCACGACTTCGGATTCATGGCACATAAATGTGAACAACAATTAACACGTTCAACAGACGCGGCAAACTGGAGCCGGCACGAAGCTGCGAGCCCTCTTGACAACCCCTCCTCACAATCAGTCCAAACGCGGAAGGCATCGAAGCAGAAGGACATGAAAGCGCCGTAACAGTAAGACAGCCACCACCAGCGATAATCTTCCTGACGAGCTTGACATTCAACAGTGCTACTAGTCGCGATGAGTGTCAACTAGGCACAACTTGAACTCTTCATTGGTCGCTCAAGTCCTGGGTGAGCCTGCGATGTACCATCAGCAATGATAGTTGAGAGCACACCACCGCCAGTGTTGCACTCACCGACCTTGGGTCGGATGTGGGACAAAACGGGCGATTCGCAGGCACGATCCCGAGAGTCTCGACGAACAGTACCAAGCCCCTTTGCATCGAGGCTGCATCTACATGCGGGAAACTTATCGACACCCTGTCCTCTTGCTGCGGGCATGTCTGTTCAATGGTCTATTCCCTGTATCGTGAGGTCTCGCTCGAAGTCTCTGCTGACAGGTCGTTTGTAACTTTAGTACTGAATGGAAAGCCTCGATAATCATGGTCGGTCAGCCGTGAAACGCTGGCACTTGGAAAAGCTGGGACGGCCAGTACGAGTAGCTGGCCATGCCAATCCACACCATCAGGGCTGCCTCTCCAAAAAGAGGCGCCAGCCTAATTCATCTTCGGCGCTGATAGATCTGAAAGACACTCATGCTATGACTGTCCAACAATGGCCCATGTCACTAGTGGTCGGGGAAAACCATCTAAACTCGGCAAGTCTCTGAGAAATTGGAGAGTGTGGTATCTCTCGATGAATCTTCTTGAATCCGGTGAAGAACCCGTGTTGCCGCAGAGCACTGAACTGGCAGCCTGCGTGAACACCCACGAAGGCGAACCCGTGCAGCGCGACGAACCACGTCCTCAGCAACTCAGGTGGCACATCGAGCTGCAGCCCGTCTGGGCCGTGCCAATGCTGGCAAACTAATCGCGGATTCAGGGACACGCGCAGTTTCGTCCGCAAAGCCCGAAGCTCGTCAAGATACACTGCAATCTGCAAAAGGACCACAAGAATGCTCGCCACGTAGGCGGCATGACGGCTTGTCCCAAGAGCTCCATGCAACCTCAGACTTGCGGTTGTTAAAGATGACTTGGACGTGCATGAGCTCCATAAGATGAGTGGCCTTCCCAAGCAGAAAGTAGCACAGGCCACTGCCAAACAATCTGAAAAGAAGCTATGACCGTAGAGTCCTGTCAGGGCGAACATGGCCCATGGAAGATCGTGAATGCAGGTCTCAGTAGTGCCGGGCCAGGCCCAGGTGGTCACAAACAAGACACAAGATTGTTTGACACTCCTTCGGCCTTCGGCCAGTTCTGTCAGCATCGTGCTGACCCCTGCACCAACCATAAGGCCAAGCGCACTGCCAAACAGAGGTGGCCTGAAAACATCGCCTGATAGTCGCTCAACCAGACCAAGCAACTAATCTACTTAGCTACTGTGCCGCGGCCAGCTTCATCTATACTGCCGAAGTATCAGTCACACAAGATGACGAGGCACCGTATAAAGCCATCCATGTCTGTTCTTCTTCATCGTCATCATGAAAGCGCTTCGTGCCTTCCAGTCAATTTGATTTGCTGCCTGCTGACTCACTGAAACCTCCGGGACGAGGCAGCTGTTCATGCAATGGCCTTGTTTGCGACCACAGATGTGATCTGAGAATATTGAACCAGTTGCCAATGCTACAGCTCCTGTCAGCAGGTATGGACTCAAGCACGGCCTGTGTAGAACGTTCTGCAGTGGCAAGACAGCAAGTCAAGTCACATGCTGGTAATCCTGGCAGAACGAGAACCGCAAACGGCAGCGGGAGCTCCACCATCAGCTTAAGAACTCCACGAGCGGCATCATGCGCTGCAGGGGGCCATGCTCTGAGCAACGCAGAAACAGAATGGCATGGGTCCCGCCTTGGTTGCCTCGAACAGCACAGTGGCGGCTCTCAACAAACGTCACCTGCTATCATTATTGGTCTGCCTAAACAGGGACAAGATCCTGCTTTTGCGTAAGCGGCTTCGAACCTCGAATCCCAAATCAACGTATCACAGTTTACTTTGTACAGCTTGATGGTTGCTGTCAGTTTCTGTGCGACCAACGCCTTGGCTAGGCAACCGCTCAGCGCCAATGCAAGCAACGCCAGACCGAACAGCATGTGGCCATCAATGTCCCAAAGAGTTGTGCGCCGACATATGCTTCACAAATGGGCGTCAAGATCTGAGTTGCTAGTCTTGGAGGAGAGCAAAGATGAGAGCATCAGGAATGACCATCTCTAGTTCAACAGCTTCACGCCTTGCAAAGGAGCCGCTTGTCAAGAAAACGTCGCTTTGCAGCAACGAGACCGTCAAATGCATGCAATGTGTACTAACCTCGAGTCGTGGCAGGCTCTGGCAGCACGGTTGCACCGGACACATTTTTCGCGATGTGCTATCTGGTACAACTTGCTGCAGCTGCTGCACCTTAGCGCATGGCAACTCAAATAATCTCTTGGCATGGATCCTGTCACATGCATCATCTGCATGCTTCCTTCTCAGCTACGAGAGCAAAAATGCATTTGACACATCGTTGGCGATATTGGCAGACTAGCTGTATTTCACGATCGTCGCGCAGGGTCCCTTGAATGAGCCAAGTGGCGCTTTCCTGAATCTCCTCCACAACCTTTAAGGTCTGCAGGAATTCCTCGCAAGTCGTGCTGCAGAGACCCTGGGTGCTGCGCTGTACAGCATCTGAAAACCGATCTCCTTCCGGAAGAGCGCCATGTCAATGTTTCTGGCAGCGCCTTTCAGACGCGCCACGCCCATCACCAGATCCTTGGCACAAAGGTCCTGCAAGCTGGCAGAGTTGCCGAATTCCATAGTGTCGCGACCGACCTGTACTGCACAGACTGAACTCTGAGGTCCTCCAGTCCACTTGCAGCACATATCAGCTCATGAACTAAGGCCTGGGATTGCCGATGGTGGCACCCCTCGACTCATGCAAGGCAATTAAACCCGGCTGCTCGCCTTCGTTGGACTTGGTGACTTGATGTTGGAAACAAAGTCCAGGCGAGGGTTCACAACGCAAACCGCAAGTTAGCCAGAAGCCGTGGCACTTTTCAGAAGTGACATCTTTTGCATCTGAGTCGCCGCATTGCTTACGTCCAGCCCCATGGCGGCCAACCACAGCTGCACAGAGTAGTCATCACAGACCTGCATGTTGTATGCACTGAGTGCTAAGACTGCGGGTAGTCGGTCAAACGCTGTTTTGGATTCTTCCAGGCACATAAGCTTGACACGAAGCCATGATTTAAAGCAGATGAAACTGATCTGCTGCCACCTGCAGCCACTCACCTCGATCCAGCCGTCCGCTCGCATCGAAATCGGCCGCTTTGAACAGGGCGGTCCTTCATGCAGCGAGTATGCTGAAACTAGCGGCTACTGAACAACTCTGGCTGGTCACTTCAGCTGAACTTGGCAAGGTTAGCACGCTGATGCCTGCTCTTGCCTAATCCTTTCGTCGGATGATGCCAAGATTCATTTTCGCCATGTGCAAGTTCAGAGCACGCTCTTTCTGAGTGAGCATAATCGTGTTGTCTGTTTGGGCCACGGTCACTGTCTCTTGAATAAAGACACCCGTGATGACCTAAGCCAGCTCGCCGTAAAGGACTGCTGCAAGACCTGCTGAGACACTACGACCGTGCAAGGATCCAGGATCCCTGGACATCAGGGCATGACCATGACCACTGCAAAGCCGATCACGAGCTTGTGAATCAGTGCAAAGATAACCTTCAGAACAGTCAATAGAACCAACATCGCAACCACAAGCATTCAGTTCGCAGTCGGCATGGGGCCGCCTTCTAATTGGCTGCGGCTTTTGCTAAAAGTACTAACAAAGGACACCTTGGATGACATGTCGCGAGTACATGCAGGTAAGTCACGTAGATCTCAGATACGTCACTCATCATGAGGCGGGTTACGGGGACAAAATTGCCAAGTGTGATTTCCTGGCAGGCCCAATCTGCATTGAGCTCGTGCAGTGTAGCAAGAGTTCATGGCATCAGCAGCAATTGCAGCCAAGTCTCAAACAACGTAAGCATGGCACGTGTGAAGGTCCCATAATATTTGTACACATCGTGCTTGTCTCCGGTGCTGCTCGGGTCAGTCAGGTACGGCTCCACCAATGTCACCATCGCTAGAGCAAGCATCATCTGGATCCTTGGCACAAGGTGAAGCCCAGCAAACACTGACACTAAACTCGCCCAGAATGATTGCCCAAGCTCTCTAGCTGTCTGCTAAAGTCTCGACATGTTATTTCAAGTCGTTCTGTCAATCGGAATTTAGCCTTACGTGCCATCCGGCCCAAGACCCCAAGAGTTGCATCTTCATCGTGCGTGCTCTTGCATCCTAACGGCATCCCCCACAAGCAAAACCAACTGCAGTGAAAACCCAAACTAAGAGACCTACTCCAGTCGAGTCAGGCGTCAATACCAGCAGGGCACTTGACCAGGCCAGCGCAGCAAATGAGGCACGAATGGAAGTCAGCATTAAGTACAAGGCCTAAGGAACGGCACACGGCACCGCTGGCTTGGCTGGTGAACTGAAGCAGGTCGAACTGGTGTTACACCATTCACCAGTCTTATATCATACAAAGCCCTTGCCCCCGGGGTGGAAGTGCCCAGCAGGGAATCTACGCAGACGCCATGAAGCATGAAGCGCTCAGGTTTGCCGATGAAGCCAAGAGGCGTCACACTGTTCGAAGATCTTGACCAGCCTGTCAAGCTGGCTACTACAGGCCCCTTTGAACGGCTGGCTGCGCCCGCTGCCTGACCATGCGCATGAGGCGCGAAAGGCGGAAGAGCCGCAAGATCATCGGATCCAGTGGGAACGCTGTCGAGGTCACCCGCTCCAAATACCAGATCCCCAAGACGATCCCATCCAGAAGGTTCCATGGATCCTGGAACCAGGTCAAGCAAGTGTGAGCTTTTGAGTCTGGCTTGGACTATCCAGGTCCTTGAAGAAGCCGCATGGGCTCCCAAACAGTTTCAGGACCAGCTCGATGGTGAATGCAACCCCAAAAAATATCTGAGCGGGTTTTGTGCACTGGAATGGGAGACAGTTTCTTCACGTCAAACCTAAAGCAAAATCCAAGATGCATCAAAGATCTCGAATGCGGTCTCTGCATGGGGCCAAACTTCCTTTGCAGGGCTTTCCAGGCCTGAGGCAGCATGTCGCAAGGGCGCACGCGCGCGCGCGCGTCCAAAGTGCCAGTAGGCTGGCTGATCAGGCAAACTTTCGCGAGCGGCAAGGCTGGCCTCTAAAGCCCAGTCGATGCCCGGCTTCAAGTCCCCTGTATTGAACCTCGGACCCACTCCGGCTGGGTACGCGTGGTATTAGGCACGGACATCAAGATCTTTACATCCCCCTCACCAAGCTGCTTGGAAAGCCATGACCGCCGTTAGTGCGCAGATCAGGCAGGCAAAAATCAGCTGGAACTGGAAGCTCTCCTTGGCTGTGTCTTTCTGAACTGCCTGCGTGGGCATCTTTGCACTGCTTGCGCATAGCTGCGGGATGTCCATGCGCATTCCATTCCATGCAGCAAAACACGCGATTCACAATTCAGAGACCGTGAGCTGAAGACGAAAAGAAAGTTCGTAACCCACAAATTCAATATGTTCCACCTGCCCTTCACAGAAAGCTCTCAGGGCTTTTATGACACTTTGAGGTTGAGTTGCCCCGCAAACATCGAATGACTGCCGGGCTCGAGCACTTTCTTCGCTGATGGAGTTTGAACTTTGATGCTCATGCAGATGCTCGAGCTCGCCAAAGTTTACAGCTCCGGCAAGCTTCAGGTTGCAGGCAGGGCGCTGACAGCGCGAGCTGAGCAGACTGCGACGTGTGAAATAAATAAAGCTTGAACTTTTCGTTGAGACGTGACGGTGGGATCACTTGTGCTTTCCAGGGTCGAACGAGCATTTTTTGCAGTGCTACCTACATGCTTATCGAATTCTGATCGACGACTCCAGGACAGCATCCCAAGTAATGCTGGAATCTACCGGCACGCCGTCCATTACAAGTCAAGAGTCTGTGAGGTGGTGCAGTGAGTGTTGAGCAACTTCCCAGAACTTTTGCCTTCGCATTGCAGAACAACTCGCGCAGGCGGCCATGCACGTGCACAGAATGCGAACCCTTAACCAGTGTTGAAAACATCCAAGGGCACTGCGCTTCGTCTTGAAACGAGGCCTTGAAGCAAGCATGTCTTACAAGCGGCATATGCAAGGTGGCATGCAGTCTTGCACCCATTTGCACTTACATGCTTGTTGTGATGCGACGGATCTAACTTAAGTCAGAAGCAAGCTTTCGTTGTGCGAAGATCTTCTGCGACACAGTTTTCGTTGTCCTGACCGGAGACAACCAGCAGCATTTTCAGCCCATGCTCACACAAGTCCCTTCTTTCAAGCAGGCCCTTCGAATCCATGGGACCCAAACATGCTTAGCCCTACTCCACGGTCGGCCCTCCACGCTCCTGGATGTGGTAACGCTGGTCGCTCTGCTCTGAGAGCGATCGGAGCTGACTCGTGAGATCCGTCTCATTGAGACACGACTCGGGGTCACCTGGCCGCAGGGACGGCAGGCATGTGCTTGGATGTTCGAGCCGTGGCGGGAGCTGCGCCGCCTCCTTCAAGCCCAGAGTCACCAGTTGCCGGTTGACGCTGTCGGCCATGAGCTCCACGCGCCGGCGCAGGGACTGCCGGGCGAGAGCGGGGAGCGAGCTGAGAGCGAGCTGAGAGCTGAGAGATATCTCAAACACAGCCTCGCCCTCGTAGAGGAGCCGCGCCATGTTCAGGCTGGAAGCCGGGCCGCTCAGCTTCTCGACGCCGTGGATCATCTCCTGCCCCCAAAACTGCTGTTCATCTTCGAATCAAAACATGAAACGCCGATGCGGAAAGTTCCCCAACATGGCACCTCTGCACTAAGATCGCCAGCATCGTTGGCACAAAGGAGATCGAAGATGTCCTTTCAGGTACATTGGAAGTAGCAAGATATAGCCAAGTCACACTGCTTCTTTCACCGTGCAGTCAAAGATCATCGCTTGCCATGACAGAGGTGTCGAAGCCCATTGCGCTTAACCACCTGGCAACCTGGGATCAGTTTGGGCTTGTGCAGAACTGCACCGCGT